TGTTAAAAAGAATGAATTTATGTGTTTATCATATTATCTTCAAAATTAAGACCAAAATTAAAAACAAATATTCCTGAACAATTCACAAACTGAAGCCTGAGAAGTATTGACCCAGACTACTAAGATGGCTTGTTACTCAATCCGTTTGAGTCTGGATAAAATGCATTTGCTAATTCATTCAAAAATGAATTCTTTAATTCATTCAATAACACTTGAGTACCTTCTTGTATTAGACATGATTCTAGACCCTGAGCAACAGAGGTGAACAAGATGCTTGAAGCTCCTGTCCTTGAGGTGGTTACATTTTAATGGGGGGTAAAGGGGGAAAACGTAAACAGATAGAAAAAATATATAACACAGTAATCGAGCAGGTGGTGATTGGGGTAGGGGCGCTGGAGTGTTAATAAAACCAGGGAAGACATCTCTGAAGAGGGAACATTTAACTGAAACGTGGATGAAGAGAGGAAGCAGGGCTTCTGGAGGATGAACAGTGTTCTCTAATGTTTCTCGGAGTCTGTAGTGATTCCTTTCACATCAAATTGTGGCATGATATCACAGATTTTATATCTTTCCACAAATTGCCTTTTCTCACTGGAATATAGAAATAGATGCTATCTCTCATATGCTACAAACCTAAGTCTCTTTTCAAATTCACTAATTATTCCAAATCTGACAATAAGGTTAACCCTTTTTAACATTTAAAAAATTGGAATTTGTTTGCTAGGGGTTTTACTCCAATATATATATTTTTTTGGAATTTTTGAATTTTATTTTATTTTTTTATACCGTAGGTTCTTATTAGTTATCCATTTTATACATATTAGTGTATATATGTCAATCCCAATCTCCCAATTCATCACACACTCCAATATATTTTAAAGAAATTTTGTCAGTGGAGAATATTGAGGTTTTTTAACACAGAAAATTATAATACAGGGGATGGCAGCTAATATGGAACAGGCTTCCTGTGTGCCAAGCCTTTTCTAAGTTCATTGTTTACACCCATTATCTCAGTTAATGTTGCAGTGATGTTTTCAGTTTAATTATCTGCATTTTGCCCAGTAGAAGTTTAGACAAGGAGATCAAATGATTCACCAAAGCCACACAGACTGAGTCAGAACTCACACGCCCAAGGCTGTCTACCTACCCCCAGCTACCTTTTGGTAACACAGCCAATTACTATCTTTCAGCCCAGTCAACTTCAAAAGACCCTCAAAGAGAATTTGAAAGGAAGGAAAATTGAGTTCCCAACTGATGCATATAAAAGCTCAGAAGAGTTGCATCTGTCATTTGATGAAGATGATAAAGAAAATGTTGCTAATATTATTAGCCAAATCTTTCCTAATATAAACAGATTAGCTGATAAAACATATTATTCTTTCACTGCAGTGTTCACTCTTGAATCCCAAAGAGAAAGCTCTTTAGAGGACAATGAAGAAGCCAAAATGAAGTCAGATGATAGACAGTAACAAAATGAGCTGCTAATGCCATGCTTGTGGATCTTATTCCCATTTATTCCATATTTTATCATGTTTATATTGAAGCTTAAAATTACCCACCCCCCTCCCTCAAATTGGAAACTTTAAGAGAAAAAGAGTTAGCTTCTCTCTTACAGATTTAAACTGAGCAGCTGTAGAACAGAAATAGATTTACCAGGATGAAGAAGAAAATAGAACCCAGCAAGTCTAATACAGTTAGAACGCCCCCCAAATTTTTTTGTATGTTTCCAGACGTGACACAATCATTATCATACAATAATAAATTTTCTTAAAAGCTCTCTGCTTCCTTTAATGGGTTGGAATCAGAGCATCATAAACCCAAAGTTGTAGCTATGAAATGTTATCATTTAGTGCCATTTACCCTTATAAAACTTTTCCATTTATATAATCAAGAGCATACAATGTAAACTATTTTTATTTTTTATTTATAATGTTACATTTAATTATATAATTTCATTAGAAAATATTTTAACCTTCATTTAAAGTTACTGCACAATTTCCCTATTTATAGGTAATCGTTTTAACTAGTTCATTACATCAAAAACTTAAATTATTTTTTGCTACTAATACAAATAATGCTCCAGTAAATTTTTTTCCAATGAATTTTCTACATGAAGTTTTGTCTGCATGTTGACGTAAGTGGAGTCACTAGTTTGATGAGTATGAAGCTACAGACAGAGTCAAATTGCTTTGCATAAAGTTGTTCCAAATTATGTTCCCGTCAGGAATATACAAACTACATGCTATAGTTTCCACAGTATTTTCTCTTTTTAAATATTATTTTAGTTTTTATTTGACTATTTCTGAAGTTTAGTATTTTAATACTGTGTTAGCCATTTATATTTCTTCTTTTCTGAGGTGACCATTTTTGTCTTTTGCCCATTTTTCTAAACTGTATCAGTTATATGGTTCCTATATAAATTTTCTATATTACTCACTTATTTTTCATATTTTTTTTCCAAATTGGGTGGTTTGTCTTTTAAATCAGCTTGCTGTTTTTGAAGTAGAGGAATTTTTCACATTTTCATAGTCAAATCATTACTTTCCCTTTGTTGATTTCTTCCATTTACTTTCAGGCTTAAAAAGTCTTCCTCTCAGCCAGATATTTAATATATATACTTATATTCTTTTTTTTATTGGTCTGACCTTTTTGTATTTAATTTTTAATTGCATATATAATTTATTATGTTATGTAAAGTAGGGCTGATCTTTTCTATTTGGTTTCTCCTCCTGATTCAGATAGATGTGTCTTTGCCTTGTGTTTATTTCAAGCTGAGTAGGAATTGAACTGGGCACTGTCAGAAACTTGTATATGACACTCCTCCTCCCCCAGCATGCATGCGCACATACACACTTAACAGAAGACCCAGAAATTAAAATTTTGGCCAAGTGGCATCTGGGAACCCCATCTCTGCTGCTGCAGAGTTCCCAGCACCAATACATACACAAAGGGAGCCCCTCCTTTGTATTATCTGTTCCCTCTTTGGGGGAAGCTATCCAAGGTAGAAGCAGTCATCAGTGCCTCTACCCACTGCTGGAGGGATGCCAATGCTGCCAGTGTACCCTGGTAAAAGGCACCCTTTCTCCCCCCATGTCTGAGATAAGCACAGCCTTTACCTCTTGGAGCCAAGAATCTGTTAGTTACCTAAAGGAGGGAAAATTTGATTTTTTTTTCAATTTACATCCACTGGCATTATATGAAACAAATTATTCTTGGTTTTGTCATAAGTTAAGTCATTATCTTTATTTTCTACTGCTGATAGATATGTTTACCTATTTGATTATTATGGTTGTTATTTTAATTTTTTAAGAAATTGGGAACATGAGTCCTGGATCCCTGGGCCCATACCACAATCTTCTTTGGGATTCACCTACCCTTTAAATGCTGTTCTTTACGTGTTAACGAAGTTTTATTCACAGATGAAAAAGAAACAAGTGAAATGTCTACGCTTAAAAGAAGTCAACAAGACTCTAGTAAAGATCTAATGTTGGATTCAAAAAAAGGTAAATTAATATTTGGGTAATTTGGTTCTCTTAGGCTGTGCATCTAAAAATCACAAATAGTTCCTTTAGAATTTTGAAGAAGTAACGTGTGTGTGGTTTTTTTTTTTTTTTAAAAGTATTATTAATATCCACTTACTCTATCTTAAAGGCTACTATAATATGAACAGTTAGACATGCAGGAACGCAGAAGAAAGAATATGTGATATATTGCTTTTGTGAACAAGAATATTGAGAAGATAGGAGATCTATTTTTTCTGCCATTCCTGGCATGTGGCTAATGTAATAATTCACAAGATGGCTGCTAGTGTGCCAGCCATCATATCAGTGTGCAGGAAAAGGGAAAGGACAAGGGACAAAAAATTGGCATTCCATCCAGCTGAGTTATTCCTCTTTAAATAGAAAACAAGAAGACTCACCGCCTCCCCTCCCCAAATTTTTCTTGCATCTTATCTACCAGCCATCCAAACTATAAGGGAAGTTAGGAGATGTAGTGTTTTTAGCCAGGCACATTGCTGACCCTAACAAAATCAGGGTTCTGTTACTAAGGAAAAGGAGACCAGATATTGGGTAGACCACTAGAATCTTCTGGCACATTTAGTACCTTTGCCTGGCTATTTCTGCCTGATGTCCTCTT